CAATTTTACCTATAAGTTTTGCCTTAACCTTAACCTCTAGCCAACCCTTATCCTAATTTTAATTAAATATTAAAAAACATATAAACACACCTGGCTTTAGCCATCCCCCTTATTTGGTTTGTATCACTTGCGCAAATAAGTATACGCGTACGTACGTGCGTACGTACTTCTCCAAAATGTCACTTCCTGAAGTGATAGTCATTCTTCTAGACATATCAAAGACGATGTTGGAACCAGCGAACCAACTTGATCCAAAGTTGAAGTGTGCTATAACAGGTATTACGATGTTCAATTTGTCAATTGCCAACTCTAATTACGACTCATCGAACCAGCACTATAGAATTCACTAAGGTACTAGAATCATATTTTACTTTAGGAATAATCCATTTTTTAAAACTCTGCTCGTGGCAAACAGTTTCATGTATCACTTTTGCTTCGAACTGCAAAATTCTACAAGAATTCACTAATGATCATATTCTATTAACCGAAGCATTAAATAAGTATGTTATCCGATTGTGTTATTCATCGATTAAATAACACGTTAAAAATGTTCTATTTTCTAAATAGTTGGGAGTTTCACTCGGACGATCCTCCTGGGGAAATACGGGTGGCCTTGGAATTTACTGAACATTATGTAACTGAAAAGTTTGGTTCAAGGCAGGCGTGTCAAATTATCGTAATTACAGATGGTCGAATGCCACAAGGTACATAATATTTTCTGCAAATCATATTATAGATTTTTACATGACATGTGTGCATTTATATGTATAGATCCGGATTTCACCAAGAATTCAGAGTCCTATTCAGCTAAATTTCATAATCCTCTTTGGCGGTTTCACATTATTTGCCTAGCGGATGAAGTTAGTAAAGATGATCATTCAAAACAAACTGAGTGTACATTGCAACGGTATAAAAAACTTTTGAACAGACATCTGCCATCCAGAGTTACAAAAAATCACCCTAAAGGTGAATTTACTCTCGAAAAGGAAGGTGCCTTTTATTTCTTACTGTATCCCCATACTGTATATAAAATTACGAATGCTATTAACGTGATTGCCGAAAAATACCGTATCCTTAATTTGCGTTATCAAATGTGTAAATGAGGTCTTGCCCTGAGAATGGTCTTGTGAAATGTTAAACAATATGTTCAAATTTTGATTTTCAAGGCAAAGGCATCGCCTTTAATGTATTATATTCCCTTTACTTAATTATCTTATCCATAAAGTTTTGCCCTATAAGGGTACCCTCTCACTTGGAAAAATAACCATGTCAATACACGTATATCCTATTATCCATGTTGATGATGATGGTAATTATTTATTAATCAAGTCTAACTAATCGTAATATTGCTTCTATTAATTTGATTTTATATTTTGATTAAAGTACAGCAATTGATAAAAATTATGTCTGTTGTGGGATTTAAGCCAAAAGAATCGTTACAAGGGGAGTCTACTTATCTACGCTTTTGGATGTTTTTGAATGATGAAATTAATGAAAATGTGGTATTGTATTAAATAAACACTATTTATTTAAGTTAAAATATAAACAAATTAACCCTTATGGTACTTTTAATAGTATAATAATGAATATTTTCACGTCTTAAGTTCATCACTAAGAAAAGAAAATCGGGTAGCAATCGTTTGGTTGCAAAACAACACCTATGCCACCATCGAAGCACCATCTTCTGAATCATGTATGTCTATTTGAATAAAATAATATGTGTTGCTATATTAACATTGGTCATATAAATTGTTACATTTTTTAAACCGGTTAATTGAATAGATTTCTATTTTACGATGTATTCACATGAAAGTGCAAAAAATTTGATGACACCATCGCCGATGCCTATAAATACACAGTCAAAAAGTTATTTATCTAATAACATCGAATTACCTAAAACAGAACTTATTGAGGTATTTTAAAGGGATTTGATATACCATAATTTTCCGCATAAACCCCCATTATAATGGACCTTATAGTAGATCTGGGTCTACGACATGGATTTGGTAAAATATGAACGAATCTATAACGTGGTTATATACGTATTATGTACATTATTATTGGTTTTATATAGTTCTATACAAGACCCTTGATAATAAACCTAGAGGTGCAAACTAATAAAGTCGTAACTAGGTCGTAACTGTATAAAAAATTATTTTTTAAGTAAGTTACGACCTAGTTACAACCTATTACGCAAATATGCCTGCACCTCTAAGTAGACCTCTCCTTTTCAAGATTTGGAGGACTAAATCTGTTTCTAAATGAGTTTGACGTAAGAGATCTCGGGTGGCTTATGTAGCAAATTAAGGTATAAAAATTCAACGGTCGTGTAAGTTAAAATTTACGACATATCAATCTATCATTCTAATAGTCGATGTTGAACAAAATCCAAAGATACGTTGCAAATTTGCCAAATGAGACCGCCAAGTTAACAACGGTGTAAGTTTATTGCCATAATATTTGTTTCCAACAATGATACAAGCGCATTCGTCATGGCAAATGTTCATTTACTTTCTTGTATGTATACTCTTCTAAGTATTCAACAAATATCAAGGATTACTGATATGTTTTGCTATATATCGCTTCGGGAAAAAGTAATTGAGAATTTGCAAGACCTACGGTAATTTGTTTATGCCAATTTTTCATTGTTAATTCATACTTAAATAACTTGATCATACCAATTTATAGAATTCAATCGCCAGAAGCCGAGAACAGAGCAATCCTTACTCAATGCTTACAATTACTAGGTGATACCGATTTTGAGGAGGAAGATGATGAGGATATTGAAGCAATGGATTATGAAGAGGAAAGGGAAGATCCTGAAGATTACGAAGATCGTAAAGATGAGGAACGTAGTAATACTAGGATTTCACTCAATGATTTGCTAAATTGGTAATGTATTAAAAAGGTTGAATAGAATAAAAAAGTTTGATATAAGTAGCAGAAGCTAATTATGTAATAAAAAGATTCACAAAATGAACTTAAAGGTAAAAAAAATTTATATATGTTTTATGTCAAAATGGACCCTTTTAATACGAGGCACCATATATTCTGCCACTTTAATTTTTAAAAATCAAAATCGTTGATGGTTAACCTTTGGCACTCAAATAGTTTAGTCTATTAGTTTATAACGATAGTAGGTCTTATCTGTGTTCAATACAGTGCTATATATTATAGTATGGCAGTCATTGATCATAAATAAAATTTATTTAGTATGGATGACGTAGCCGTATAAAATAACAAGATAAAATTTAGTTATATAATAGATTTTATTTATATTGTACAAAAATAATAAAAAAAATATCTTGATACGTATAATATCAAATGTTTCTATATATGGTTTTTTTTTAAGTGACTCCATATGAGTGTCGCTAAAAGAAAACCCGAAAAATTTAAATATAAGTCATATATTTAAATTTTCTGGGTTTTTTTTAGTGACACTTATATCGAGATTATGATGATTAATAGGCAATATTGATGTTACAGTATAGGTTGCAGCATATGGGTGGTGCAATGAATTATTGGGTGTAGTTATCCCAACCCAATATTTTACTATCATTTATATTGTCAAGTTTACTAATAAAGAACATCAGTTTTTAATCAAAAATTTGCAGAGCAAATTTTTTTAAGAGAATGAAAATGGTATAAAACAGTTTTATTATTATTATTTTTTTTAATATTAAGGTGACTACTTTGGGGTTTGACATGTTTTATTAAACTTTAGTTTAAATGCCAGAGCAACCATATGGCTACTTCTGACATTGTTATATTAATAAAAATACAATTAGTTATATATATAATTTTAGTCATTGTCTATTTTTTATTTTTTTTTTTTTTTACCTTTGCAACGTCGCGTGAAGGTGGATTTTTATTAGGTATTTTAGATCAGTGTTGTACCTGGACAGTGTCCACATAATATTGTTTGGACATGGACAAGTGTGGACATTGTCCAA